TCTTTCGGCTGAGAAGGTCACCGTTATGCCGATTAAGTCTCCCGAAAGACCCTTGAAGAAGCCTTCCCCTAAAACACACTTACCTTTAACTTCTGTGAAGCACTATTCCATTGCATCTCTTCAACAATACACAGAAAGCTTCTCTCAGGAAAATCTCCTTGGCTCAGGCATGCTTGGGAGTGTCTATAGGGCTCGGCTTCCCAATGGAAAGGTATGATGCACTTAATTCAAACATTTCTGGCTTACAAAAGTCTGTTTTAGTTCTGAATCTTTAATCTTTGATTTCATCTTTACAGCTATTTGCTGTCAAGAAGTTGGACAAGAGGGCTTCTGAACAACTACAGGATCATGAATTCATCGAACTGGTGAACAATATTGATAGGATTCGCCATGCCAATATTGTCGAACTTGTGGGTTACTGTGCTGAGCACGACCAAAGACTGTTGATCTACGAATATTGCAGTAACGGTACACTACAAGACGGGTTGCATTCAGACGATGAATTCAAGAAGAAGCTTTCGTGGAATACCCGTGTCAGAATGGCACTTGGAGCTGCTAGAGCCCTTGAGTAAGTTTCTTGTTTTTACTTCAAAATAGAAAAAAATTCAATTGCATTTGCACTCGATTTCTGACTTTTGTTAATGTTCTTAAGGTACTTGCATGAGGTGTGTGAACCACCTATCATACACAGAAACTTTAAATCAGCCAATGTTCTACTCGACGATGATTTGAGTGTTCTTGTCTCAGATTGTGGTTTGGCCTCACTAATATCATCAGGCTCTGTGAGCCAGGTAGAGTACTAAAACCCAATGAGTTTGAATCTGATGGCTTCACCTGTGTAGTTTCTTCAAGATCTAAAACCAACTGTTTTATTGTATCTATCAGTTATCAGGACAATTGCTAGCGGCTTACGGATATGGAGCTCCAGAATTCGACTCAGGAATCTATACATGGCAGAGTGATGTATACAGTTTTGGTGTTGTTATGTTAGAAGTCTTGACGGGTAGAATGTCCTACGACAGGTATGCGCATCACGTTGTTTTCATTGTTTAGTTTTTTTTTCCTTTCGGGTAATTGTGTATTCATATGAGTCGATTTGTAGGGACCGGAGTAGAGGGGAGCAGTTCTTGGTGAGGTGGGCAATCCCGCAGCTTCACGATATTGATGCACTGGGCAAAATGGTTGATCCATCTCTCAATGGACAATACCCTGCAAAGTCATTGTCACACTTCGCCGATATAATTTCCCGGTGTGTTCAGGTAAAAAACACATATTGAACAATGAAAAACTGTAAATAGATGCTTGTGGTTGTGTTTGCTTGACCAAAAGGGTTTATTTTTCTTTTCTTGTGACAGTCTGAACCAGAATTCAGACCATTGATGTCTGAAGTAGTTCAAGATCTTCTAGATATGATCAGAAGAGAGCGTCATGGTTCGGGCGAGCCTAGCGCAGACTAGTGAATTGTAAAGAACCAATTTTTTTCCGGATGATCTCTGTGTATTCGCGAAAACAAGAGATGTTCAGTTCTCAGAAACAAGAACAACAAAGGGGACTAAACTAAACCAAAGACATAAAGTGAGTCATAATATCCTGAGGAGGAAGCTGATTCATCAGCCAAAAAGAGGCTCATTTTATGTGAATTGGCTCAAAAAAGATAATATCAATGTGCTTGCTTCCAATATCAGGTGGTTCGGTTGGTGGGGAGTTTCG